AATATCTTATTCAATTTTAGTACTAGATGTTCAATACAGATTACATTACAACATCTATACAATATAATTAGTATGGAGGTCATAAAAAGAACCGAAACGTTTTAAATATGATTGATTTAATAATTATTGATAAGAGAAGCCACGGTTAATTTAGAATGTTAAACAAAGTATTAATGAAAAAATCTTGAATAAAAGTAACACTTTTCTTCGACCTTATTTTATTTTTTTTTTATTATACAATGTCATATACATTATACATATAAAATAATAATAATAATTGCGACTATTAAGTTTATTTTGCATTCTTTAGGAATAATATTGATATTGCGACCATCACTACATTGTAAGTCCTAGTCCTCCTCTGAAAAAAGACAAACCTAGCCCTTCAAGCAGTTTTAATTGCAACTGTTACCCAAAATAACAGTGACTCATCACTATATCTCATGTGATAAACCGTCCTTTGTTTATAGAACTTGCCGACATCAAGCAACAAGTGGAGTGCAATGTTGCCATGTTCTGATGTTTTTCATTAATGCACAAAAGTCATCCAAACGACCAATTTCTTCCATTTTCCTGATAACATCAGAAAGAACACTGTGAATTTCACTGCTTTCTGTGTTAGTCTCAACATCTTGTCCAAACTCACATTGCTGCTGACGTTTACTTTCATGAACTTCATTTTTTTTTACTCTCAACATTTATACACACTGCATATCCGTTACTGATTTTTTTTCTTTAAGTCCAGATAAGTATATAGGAAAGTGAATAGATTTATATATAGTTTTTTTTCAGTTTCTGCATTAAGTTCTATTTTACGTATGCTGAACCCTAACCCTTACCTCGCTTCCAAATTCTGAAATATGCTATATGTACACTGAACCAAACTTCTAAGTGTAATTTTTTGAAGTTTTAAAGAACAAATGCAAACAATAAATGATTTCTTTAATTCTTGGTTGATGATGCATAATTAAGTTCAATGTTGCATAAATTTCATGTAAGTATCTCGTCAGAATTTTAAGCAAAGTTTCAAGGAAATGATGTACCCTCAAAATGAAAAATTCACACAAAAAATCTATATGGAGTATGACCACCACTCGCTCTAATTACTTCAAGACAATTTTTACTGTTGGATACCAAGTATCCCTGAATAGGAGATTGACCCATCTGCTGCCACACCTACTGTATAGTTCTTTCCAAACAGTCGAAATTGTGTGGAAAGGGAGGGCTTTGACTTTTCTCATAAAATCCGAATTATGTTCAATAGGATTAAGATCCGGGTATTTGACAGTGTATCTTCACACAGATGCCTTGTAGTTAATATTCTAGAGAGTGAAGCACGATCGAAGTGCACCGATTCAGACTACTGAATACTTGGACTGAAATAAGACTGTCACGAGCACGGATTTTTTTTTTTTTTTTTTTTTTTTTTAACATTTTCGTACGATTGAAATTGTTTGTTTTCATGTTCCGAAGAATGTTTCTGGACAATTTACCAACCTTTTACCCTGGTGTGATGCAAAATTTTGTCCTCAGACGAAGATCAAGGTCAATTCCGGTTTGGTTGAATTTGTCAAAAACTTTCAAATTGTGTTATTTTGGTGATCGATGAAAAATGACGCACAACATATACCGGTATAAATATGTGCTTAAGTGGGTTTTGATACTGTTTGTTAATTTTTAAAAGTAATATCAAGTACAACTAGAGAGTTTACTATTGCTAGCAATAGCGTATGTCGCCCCGAACTGTTCCCCTATTTCCATGGCAACTATTGATAATTTCGGACAAGACTTTAATTTTTTGTATCACTAAAACAATACCCATTAGCAAAGATCAATTCTTATAAGTCCTTTCAGTTCTTTGATTTAAAAATCAAAGTTAAAGAATTTTCACCTTCCTCTAGTCTCCATGGCAATAATCGATTATTTGAAAATTTTGAATGAGAATCGCACAACTACAATTACTAATCACTAAAATAAAAAAAAGTTTTATGATGAATGTTCAAGGGACTAGAGAGTACCCTTGTGGACAAAATTCGTCGCATTTTTTAGGTTTCCTTGGCAACGGTAGCCATTTTTAAACTAAATGACCATATGGCACAGCTACTAGCAGTGATCGTCCTTTGAGAAAAGTTTCAGAAAGATTGTCCCAGCCATCTTCGAGAAACAGCCTGAACAACAAAAAATTGTGTACAGTCGCAATATGTCGTCACCGACTTCGTTCGGGACGACATAATTAAGCATCAAAATAAAAGTGAGTAAAATGTTGTGAAAAGATGATCCAGATATTAACATTCCAACGACTCTACCTTCTATCTCAATGGTCATTTTGCCAAAGTTTTGCGTTTTGTTAGTGAAACCAGTTTTTTCAATTTGATAATGATCACAAAAAGATTCGAATTACACAAAACACGCAAAATACAAATTTATTGCCTGTACCCTTCGTCACGGAACATTGGTTTTCATCGGTGATACTTTATTTTCTTTCTACAGTTGTTACGAATACTCATTTGTGTAATAATTTGAAAATATCATACCATTCTATAAATAGTTTTAAAATAAATATATTGATTAAAGTGAATACTTAGAAGTTTTCTTAAGTGTGTGGCACGTCAAATTCACAAAAATGAGCCAAACACAGTTTCACAGTTTTAAACTACTAGGTTTTACGACAGTTTACAAACCGTGAACTATAGTTTTCATGTGTAAAACTATATTTAACGGTTGTTAATTAACTATAGTTTACAAATGGTAATCTAAGTTTATCTGTCTTTTATAAAGCGTTTTACATTGGATTTTGTTGAAAAACATAGATTCACGTTTGAAAACTATAATTTACAATCGTAAACTATAAGTAAGAATTGTTTATCATAGTTTCACAAATCGTGAAACTTTATTTATCAGATCGTTAACTATAGTTAAGAATTGTAAACCATAGTTTACAAATCGTGAAACTGTATTGATCAGGTAATCTATGTTTTGCAATTGCAAATGATTGTTTTCGGTGTTAAGTATAGATTACGGTTGTGAAACATAGATAATCGCGTTAACTATGGTTTACAGATGTAAAATATAGGTTAACGCTGTTAACTTTAGTTTACAGTCCGTAAACTATAGTTTACAAGCAATAAACGTAGTTTATTGACTGTGAAACTATGTTTAGCTCATTTTGTGAATTTGGCGTGCCATAGCTATGGTTCAAAATTACATTAACATCTTTGTCTTTTTTAACACAAAAATAACATGATATGTCTGCCTCTACAACAGAAAAGAAAACACATTAGATTATATTTATATATTACGGTCATCTTACTTCATTGGGAAAAATCTATATTACGGTCATCTTAATATTTTGCTACGGTCATCATTGTCAAAAACTTTGAGGTCCTACTACAGCTTTATTTCTTTAAATTCAAATAAGTTATACTAACCTATAGCAAGTTCTCATTAGCGTACATTTAAATTTTGCAAGAATTAATACAGATAACCTAGCAAATGTTTAAAATCTTGACTGAAAATTTCTAACCGGTGACCTCGGCCGACATGTTTTGATGACCGTAGTATATACTACAGTCAGCCGCTTTCCTACAGTGTTTACTGGTGCAGTTAGCGAGAATAAAGATACATTTTTTATCCCACTGATGCCAAAATTAAGATGATATTTAGAAAAAAAAATCTTTAGGAGTTGTCACAGTAATTCTACACTGTACTGAAAACTTAGCCAAATAAATTATACATTCCAGTGAAAACTGTCTACCAAATAAATATCACATCATGGACTATTGCAGTTCTGATTTGTTAACATCTCTGCTGATTATAGTTAATGATACGTTTTATTTGAGTTACAATTGTGCTGATTGGAATATATAATTAAGCAAGACTCCAAAGTGCGATGGTGACGTCAAACTCCGATGGCTCACTGTCTTACGGACGCCAAAGTCCGATGGTCACGCCGAATACATATGGTTCGTTTCCTATGAGACGCGTTGCGCTAAAATGAGATGGTCCGACACGCCAAAGTCCGATGGTGCGGAAAAACAATCAACGCGTATGAAGTCACACTAATCTGACGTCAATCTTTGACACCGTTGTCGTTCATTCAAATGTCTTCATTGCTGAATTCGTCCTCTAATACAATTTTATTAAATTTACTTATTGTTTGCACTTACCAGAGGTATTATGATTAGTCCTCGCAAACTAGTCGGATGATTAGGGTTAGTCTCGCATCCACCCAAGAAATCTAGGTTATTGTCGTTACACACTTTTCGAACGATTTGGGTTAGGGTTGCTCCTATCCACGAGATAAGGATTAGTTTTCGCATAATGATTTTAATTTTACCTATTCAAGAATATGGCATGGCGCATCGATGTAGTTTTGCGCTGGAGTACTATGACGTCATAAACGTTAATTGTTTTCCACACCATCGGACTATGGCTTGTGAAACCATCGGGGTTTGGCGTAGACCATCGGACTTTAGAGTCCTACTTATAAGTTACAGTAAATATGAGTGATCATGTGAATAAATATTTGAGATAAACCTTTATTTATTCATTAATAAAAATGCATTATTTTTTTAATATTTAACACACACACACACAAAACCATAATGATGCACTGCTATCATTTTCTGGAATGAGTTTTCTATATCACAGCATATTACAGTTATCTTTCTTTTTTTAATTTAAGAAACTGAAATGACTTACTGCAATTTCTTGTTTTTCCTAGATATTTATACAATGCTTCGTAGGATTTATTCACAGTAAATGAAAAACCCTGAATTTTTTTTTATTTGCAAATAAAACAATTCTTCTGGTTTTTTAAATGCAAGAAATTATATAAAATGCAACGAAACTTAAGACAATATTTCAATAATGAAACTGTTTTTAAGGTATTTTTAATCCTTACAGTTTTAATGGTTAATGTAGAAATACTGCAAGTATATCTATACGTTTATATGTGCTTATTGGTCGTTAATACCATTATCATTACCTTTCTGTTACAGTTGTTCTGCTTGGTGACAGTGGTGTGGGTAAAAGTGATATTATATCCAGTTTTATCGGGAATGAATTCAGAACACTCGGGGCAGATTTTGATTTTAGGTACGTATAAAGTGTTCAAAATGTTATTCCGTTAGCATGCAAGCCAAAGACTAATGGATTTTTAAAGGGACTAACAAGCTCTTTAAAAGTTTTTAAAGAGATTTCAAGAAAAATGATAAGGCTCTGAGTTACCAGATGAATGCTTTCATGAAATTAATAAAATACACACATGATATTTAACTTGGTATGGGGCACCCAAAGGTGGTCCTTTTTCAGGGACACACCTTATTACAGGCAACTGGCATTACTGATGCAACTGGGACTGTAAGAGACGGACGAACGTATAGACACACAGACGGACGAACATTGCGATAACGATATACCCTCCCTCTTTTCAAGCGGGGGTATTATAAAGGTATTCAATTTTTTGTGTTCAAGTTGTACGTTGTAATAAACTTAGGATTTTGAATTGATAATTTGGACATTCCTTACGAAGCTGTCATGTTAAGACTTAATTGATAGCTGCGATGTTGCGGCCAACATAACAATTATTGTTATAAGTTTGCAGCAATTTTGCAGGAACTCAAAATGTTTGCAGTAACATATCACGAAATTTACATGCCAATCTGTTGTTCGCAGCATCAAGTTCATTGGAAACATTAAATGATGATCTGAAGGTTTACAGAGAAGCGAGACCGACCGTGGGTTTCCGACGATGGAAGTTCGCAAGAAAGTATTTAAACAAGTTTAACCTATCAATAAAATGTAGACCGTACCTTGGTCAACACTGATTTCGCCATTTTGAAAAATTTGAATTAAAGTTGTATACAGCTGTATGTCTCAGTATTTTGGTAGGAATATGCTGTATACCATTGGCGCACACAACAACTGTCTGATAAGATTTGATAAATGTGATAACTTTAACTTCTCAATTGATAACTCCCATTACTTATGCAGCAATATACCATGCTCTGTTGATTCGATTCGCAAGACACGCTTTACGAAATAACAATTTCTAAAATGAGGCAAATAATTGACAAACAAGTTGATGAAACAAGAATAATTTATCAACAGTCTTGTGTAAGGTAATCATTTCGTTAGTTCTTTAAAATGACATTGTCAGCAAATACAATTTATCATTGCTTCAAATGCTGACTGACATTTTTTTCAAAGTACATGTAATTGTCAGGTTATTATTTACACACTGAATTATCGACGATTTTTTATGTTTCATTTTTATCATGACATGAAGCGGGTGCTGGTTGGCAGGGGATGCTCACTTCTCCATACATGGGACATGTGGTCACTTTTGTTTTTTTTTGTACTTTCCTGTTTTTTTAGGTCACCTGAGTCACTCAGGTGACCTATTGCTATCCGTTTTCGTCCGTCGTGTGTCGTGTGTTAACATTTGAACATTTTCATCTTCTTCTCTGAAACCACTGAACCAATTTCAACCAAATTTGGTATATAGCATCTATGGGTGAAGGGGAACATAAATTGTGAATGTCATGGTCCCTACCCCCCTGGGGCCTGAGGGGTGGGGCCAAAACCACTAAAATTAATGAAATCTTTAAAAATCTTCTTCTTTACTCCTGGACATTAAGCAGGCAAACTTAGCATGAATGTAATGACCATTGAGTCCTCTACCAAAATTGTGAAATTCATGGCCCCAGGTACAGGGGTTCTAGTGCTAGGGCGGGGCTATATTGATTATATAGTGAAAATGCACTAATTCTTTGAAAATCTTCTTCTCTGCTCCTGGGTATTAAATAAACTAAGTACATAGTTATGGTGAGCAAGAGTGCCTATTCCACAGTTGTGAATTTCATGGCCCCAGGGTCGGGGGTTTCGGTGTTAGAGTTGGGCTCTATTGATTATATAGTGAAAATTCATTAATTCTTTGAAAATCTTCTTCTCTGCTCTTGGGTATTAAATAAACTAACTAAGTACATAGTTATGATGACCATTGAGTCCTCTACCAAAATTAGGAAATTCCTGGCCCCAGGGTCAGGGGTTCTGGTGTTAAGGCGGGGCTCTATTGATTATATGGTGAAAATGCATTATTTCTTTGAAAATCTTCTTCTCTGCTCCTAGGTATTAAATAAACAAACTAAGTAAATAGTTATGATGAGCAAAAGTGCCTCTTCCAAAATTGTGAATTTTATGGCCCAAGGGTCAGGGGTTTTGGTGTTAGGGTAGGGCTCTATTGATTATATAGTGAAACTGAATTAATTCTTTGAAAATCTTCTTCTCTGCTCCTGGGAAATAAATAAACTTACTAAGTACATAGTTATGATGACCATTGAGTCCTCTACCAAAATTGTGAAATTCATGGCCCCAGTTACAGGGGTTCTAGTTCTAGATCGGTACTATATTGATTATATAGTGAAAATGCATTAATTCTTTGAAAATCTTCTTCTCTGCTCATGGGAAGTAAATAAACTAACTAAGTACATAGTTATGATGAGCAAGAGTGCATATTCCACAATTGTGAATTTTTTTGGCCCCAGGGTCAGGGGTTTTGGTGTTAGGGCGGGGCTCTATTGATTATATAGTGAAAATGCATTAATTCTTTGAAAATCTTCTTCTCTGCTCCTGGGTATTAAATAAACTAACTAAGTACATAGTTATGATGAGCAAGAGTGCCTATTCCACAATTGTGAATTTCATGGCCCCAGGGTCAGGGGTTTTGGTGTTAGGGCGGGGCTCTATTGATTATATAGTGAAAATGCATTAATTCTTTGAAAATCTTTTTCTTTGCTCTTGGGTATTAAATAAACTAATTAAGTATATAGTTATGATAAGCAAGAGTGCCTCTTCTAAAATTGTGAATGTCATGGCTCCAGGGTCAGTGGTTCCTTATGGGTGGGGTGCACAACTGTTTATAAAGTGGATGTACATATTCTCATTTTTACTCTGATTTACACCTGGGTATAAAGTAAATAGAGTAAGCATGCTAAGTTTATAATTATGATAAGCAATGGCGCCTCTTTCAAAATTGTGAATTTTATGGCCTCTGGTTTAAAACAGAACCAAATTCAATTGTTTGAAAGTTGTTACATGATATCCAGGTGCCCGTGGGCCTCTTGTTTCTTTTTTGCTGCCCAAATTTTGTATTCTTAAGGTAATTCCACCCTCCTATTATGTCATTGGTTTTTGCAAAAACTGTAATTAGTTAAATTAATACCTAATAGAACAATATCATTCGGAAGAATGCTTTACAATAGGTGTAATGATAAATATTGTTAAAGGCCGGGGGCGACCTAGATTTTTTGACACCTGGTAAAATAGGCGGTGCTTATCTCCATCACTGTCAGTGCTGCTGATAAGAACTGCACTGAGCTGAGTCAGTTTTGTTTACAAATTACCGACAGTGGGAATTCCATTTCATTTTGTGTGTAAATATAAATAAAGAAATGAAATCTGTGTGTACCGCAAATCTCTATAGAGGCAAATCTATGAAGCAAATCATATGATTTACATATGATCCACATATGTGAATCATTTGAATATAACTACATATGATTTTCATATGAATGATTTAAGTGTGTTTCAAGCCATTTACATATGAGAATCATATGAAAAGGGTATCATATGTAAATCATATGAAACACTTATGTGTGTTTCAAGCCATTTACATATGAGAATCATATGAAAAGGACATCATATGTAAATCATATGAAACACTTTTGTGTTTTTTTTTCAATATTTTTCACATTCTTGTTCACATTTAAAAATCAGATATTTCTGCTTTAGATGAAAATTCATTACATTACAATGATCTATCTTCATTGGTTAAATATTTTAAAATATCTTAAAATGCTTACACAACTTTTTTGATAAAAATTATTTTCATCAAGAGAAATAACTTATTTTTCACAGTGTACATTCTAAACAAGAAAATATACAAACAAGTCAGTAGCATTTGTCGATACATGTATTTAACATATTCTGACATGAGTACAAATTATAAGATTTCAGCAAAATGATTTAGTAGTTAAACATGTATACTGTACATGTACAAATGAATAACATGTTTAGTTCATGTATAAAAATACCATATGACATGAAAGTGTCCAAAGCAAAATTGAAATATCAGCAATAACATTTGTAATGTATTCTCTATTGTAAATTTATGAAAAATCAAGTTATTGATTATTCCAGCATACAATAAGAATATGGGAAATTTTCACTGCTCAAATTTAGACAAGATTGTGTACATCCTCCCCATTTCATAATTATTATTCCATATATTTCCTTGTTCTTTTTCCTTTTGTATCTTTCAATTTTTTCAGTTGTCCTCCCTTTGATCTTCCATGACCATTTTGAAAATCTCTTTGAACTGTACCGTACCAAAAATGAATATCCACCACTTCTCCTCTTCCTGAACAATTTCTTTGTGGCACAGAATGGTCTCTACAAAAATTTCAAAAGTAAAAATAAAATAATTCTTAAATTCTGTGAGTTATAAAATTTACTTAGGTATAATCAGCAAACAAATGTATGCCCAATTCACTGACAAAAATATGATACGGGATAAAACTAAAGTTATATATGTTATACTAGGTGTTTTGAGGAATCCTATGATGTAATTTGCAAAACAATTACACTATTGAAAGATATGCTTCATAATAAAATCATGAAAAGCAATTTTTTGTTATTATGACAATTAAATTTGGAATGTTCAAACAGTATATATTAATTCAGATTGTCAAAAAATTAAGAAGATTCTGATACAAATACATGTATATTATTTTTGGACAAAAAACACTACAGACAAGTAGACAGGCAGAAAAACAGACATTGTGATTCCAAGATATCCCAAACTTTTGGGAAGACTATAACAAAGTTTATTTAACAGTGTGTAGTTACCTTAACTTTGAAGCAAGCCTTGGATCTTGGGATTTGTTCTTTATCTTATGAGAGGCTGACTGTATATTGAACCTGTAAGACAAATACTAATAGTCTCACACAGTAGATATTTTCTAAGAATACATTTAATTAAAACTTAAACTATTAAAAAGAGAGAGTACAAGTTTGTAGGTTCTCTATTAGTCTTAAATATACTGAAAGGAAAAAGAAACGCAGGGTAAACTTTTGAGGTGAATTGAATTTATTTTCCCTTCAATTTTTTTCAGTATTCCTATCTAACTTTTAAAATCATGTTTCAAAAAAATATAACCAAAATTTGATTTGATTTTGTCTAATAATTCTTGAACTATTGAAGCTCATATGACAACACCCCCAAAAGTGAAAATCAAAAACACTCATTATCTTCAATGTCTCTCCTGCACATCTGTCATGAGCGTTATTTCTCTTTTGCATGGAATTCATCAGAGTGATTATCTTTTAAACTCTGGCTATATTGGGCATCGGTAACCACGCCAAAAAATTAGTCAGGCAACGCGCGCATGCGCGAGTGAGAGGAACACAACAGTAAGTTGACATGCTAAAAAAACCAAATTGCAGAATTGTTTTCTTTTATTTTTTGTGTGAATGTAATGACTAAAATAGTCTACTATATAAAAGGGGTTTTTTGTGGTAGTAAGGTTGCGATTTAAGAGGTGGCAGGACGAATAACCCGCTCGTAACATGGCTGTGTTTCGCGTTAACGTCATCGTCACGATTGATTTAAAACCATTCCAGGCCCTCTCTGAAAACGGGTAACAAGTTTTTTAGGGGGAAATTTACAAGAAACTGCTTAGTTACCCGTTGTTGCCTTTACACTAATTAGGCAATTCGAAAATCAGACTCCATGGAACTTCCGTAAACTGTACCAAGAGTGCAAAAAATTCATGTCGTCTCTAAATATTGAAAAACAATGTGTATACCTCAGGTGCATCAAATGGTACAACAAGATTTGTTGACAAACTCGTCGTTATCAAATTGCACGTGTTTTGGGCATTTTACCGTTTTCCCTTCATGACGTCATACATTTTACGGTTGAGTAATTCTGAACACTAATTTTGGTGCAAAGTAACTAAATTTCTCATCTGACCAATTTTCGTAATTTTCGGTCATGCGGTCAAAAAGTTTTCGAATATTATGCTACCCTGCGTTTCTTTTTCCTTTCAGTATATGTTGGAATAGGGTTTTTCAAAATGTACGTAGAGTGGGAATAAATCCTAGCAGTAAACCTCTTTCCATGGTAAAATGTTTGCTGTATGCTTGTCGATGCTTGCCGGAAATTTGCTGCAAACACAACGGTTTTTGAAGTCTGTCATGATGATTTGTTTAGCTTCTTTGCAGCAAGTTTGCAGCAGTTTCTGCTTCAGACTTTTGGGCAACACACTTATTAAACAACAAAGAATATTCACATTATGCAGTTATGCCGTAGAGAGCCATTTAGAAATGTGATCGCAGAGTATCACTTTTAATTTTATAGGCTCAGTTTGACCACTTTTCCTGAATAAATATTAAAATTCAAATTTATTCTGTTCTCTTTGTGTTTTTGAAAAAAATCATTGCTTTATATTTAATAGAAAAATAACTTAAGGTAAGATCAAAACAGGAAACCACCAAACTAAAGTAAATGAATGTTATAAATAGTCAAAAATATAATATAAATTACTTCCCTGCCATAGCAAAAACATTTTTGCCGCCTGTTGTCAAAATTGCATCGGCAGTCCAAGTTGCCGTTAATATAGGGTGTGGAAAATAAAGTTATAAGATTCTTGTGAGTTTTATTTTTTACTGTTTGTATTGTGTATATACAGAAGAATACAGGTTGATGGGAAGACAATCACGGCACAGCTCTGGGATACAGCCGCCCAGGTACGGTTGCCAGCCATTACTAATGCGTAAGTATCTGGCATTAGTAGTAGTGTACACAGTCACTAAGTCAGGAAGGGTACCTATGTATCACCTGCTCGTTAGTGTAATTTTTACTCGTGTACTCAATCAGAAATTTGTACTGTTCCATCACCAGTGAGTGAGTAACATTTTTACTAGTGTACTCAGGAACGATTCAGAGCCATACCTAGTGAGTAAGTATCATTTATACCATACAGGTGTACTCAGTCAGGTAATGTGCCTTCACTAGCATGCATGTGTCATTTATACCAAAAATGCACTTACTCTTGTAAGACCAATAGACCAATTGCACGTCTGTAGTATTACAGAAACACAAGGATTTTACTGGTATGATTAAAAAAGGTGTTTGTATCTTGTTTTGGCCCATTGCTTTGTTCAATCTCTAATTTTGATATATGCATTTATAACATCAAATGCTATGGATTTTTTTTACAGAAACTCTACCTCATTATTTCAGATTCTACAGAGGTGCTAAAGGGGCGGTCATTGTCTACGACATCACAAAACACTCAACATACGAAAACGTGGAACGTTGGATGAAAGAAATCCGTGAGCAAGCTGACCACAACATAGTTATAATGTTAGTGGGGAACAATAGTCATTTACAGCATCTACGAGCTGTGCCTACAGACGACGCCAGGGCTTTTGCAGGTTTGTCGTTACATGAATAATGTTAGTGGGAAAAAATATAAAGAGTAGTTTACCAAAGTCATGTATTTGTACCTACATTTTAGACAAAGACTTTTGTATGTTAGTTGTTACAGTTACAATATTAGTATAGGCATAAGAGCATGCATATGTCATTCCTTTAGTTAAGGCGAAGACTTTTTCAGGTGTGTTTCAACTGTTTGAATGTTTGTGGGAAATACGTGTGGCTCCTTGATTTGCTCTTTCTTTAGTTTAGACGAAGACTTTTGCAGATTTTTGTTTACTTAATCGCTTGATAGCTTAGAAGAAAACTGTCATTGACAGATGTCTCAGATATTGATACGCCAGAATGGTTTTTTGTGAAAAAAATATATTACTATACTTCTGTCATAACTTCTGTCAGTTGGTACATTTCTTCTCTATAGTTCCTGAACTTATTATTTTGATTTCAATAGACACTATGCCTAAGGCAAAACTGAATGTTCAGAATATTATGTTAGTATACCTCAACCTTCTCTTGAAAAGCGGAGGTTGGTTGTACATCCTTTAGTTACGCTTAGGGGTTCACATTTCTTATCTGCAACTCGTTTGATGCCACTGAATAAAATTTAATTATACTAGTACTTTCACAAAATATTTATTACATAACGTTATAATGCTCGTACTATTTTACTTTTTGATCAGACACTTATATTTCCGGTCTCGCGTGGCAAAACAGATTTTGTCATTATAATTATATAGGAGGCGGGAGAATACCATTTTGTGAACTCATTGCTATCAGTTTCTCTACTTAAAATTTGTAATGCTTTGAATTATTATTTTTTATTTTTAGAAAAAAATAAGATGATTTTCATGGAAATATCAGCTCTAGATTCCACCACCGTAGAAGCAGCTTTTAAGATTCTTTTAACAGGTAATAACTTTTCTTTTCAGCTTATTTTTCCTGCAAAACAATTGTTTCCTTAATTGCTATCTAATTTCCTAATTTGAATCTTTAATACTTAATTAGCTTATGACTTTATGGGTAGTACTAGATTTTACAAGTTGACAATGTCAGTCCAGAAGAAAGAGTATCTGATATCAAATAACCGTCGAAAACCACGTGTCGCCATTGAATCGTAAACACGTAGTAGAGTATTATGCTTTTGGACTCATTCACTTGATTGGAGAACAGGTGTGACGAAGACATCGTCACGTGTTGAAAATTGTCTTCCATATAAGGTAGTGGTCTTTACCTGTTCAAGACGATGGCAAAATTTGTCACAAACAGTAATACTATGGATACTTACTTTTGGCAAAAGGGATCATGTCTACTTCTTTAAGTTCAATCATACACTAATATTAGGAACACTTGTAGAGTCCTCTTAACTTATATCCTTTTCCTTTCAAGAAGTTATTTTTAAATAAACTTGAAAGAAGACATATGCTTGTTATAATACTCATAGAATTATCGTTAGGACCAAATAATCTTGAAAAAATTGAAATTAGACTAGCTTGACATTAACAAAATTAAACATATGTGAATAACAAAAATTTCATTCAAAACAAATTCAAATCTGCTGTTACAAGCAATAGAAATATTTTGAGTAGACTGCAAAAATGTGCACTCGCTTGCAGAGGCTAAGAAACCTTAAGGTAGGACCAAACACCAATGGATTCTATTGTTACCCTTTTCTTAAAAAGTACCGGAGAAAAAAAAGATGAATAATACTATATTGACAGCAAATGAATGATCCCTGTAAGAAAATAAGTTTAGGAATGTTTGCGTCATATTTTGTGAAAAAAAACAGAGAATCCTATATATTAATCACTTGGGAGCTTACATTTTGGAATGTGTTTACGCTATCTAAGTGCAATAAACAAGCATGTAACAGTCTGTTATAAAATGCAGTGTAACTTTTGTTTCATAAATAGTAGAGGGCTGATATTTGGACACATATATAAGGGGTCTCCATTTTTTATATACTACTAAGGTCAAGGTCATATCTAGAGGTCAAAGGTCATATGTTGTAACGTCATCTACTGAATCTTTTAGTTTTTCTGCCATTGAAATTTTTAATCGCTAAAATGGTTCAATTTTCTTTAATTTTACACATTTTATTCTAAGATCCATTTGAATCATTCTATTGATTTTTTGTTAAAATTGAATCATACATTTTCTCTTAAGAAAACTTAAACTGTAAGATATGATAAGGAATTTTAACCCCAATTTCGTGCAGACCTACAAAAAGATTGGAAAAAGACCGCCCCGGCATTTGCGGATTATCGGATCTACACGTATCGATACATATTCAATGCAAACATCTGAGAGTTAAACCCCAGTCCCAATTCCAAAAGCGACCAATGGTCGACTTGTTTTGAAGCAAAAATGGGATTCTTCGGGTGACAGTCGTCAGTTCATCAGCCGTTGTCTTGCCTGATTTCGACCTCTTTTTTTTTATCGGCCGACCAATTTTATGTCTATCTGTCCAAGTTATAATTATTTATGCATCGGTGGTAGATACCTTCTATTGAAGTTATCCATCGACAAACCTTTGATCATCGTCCGACCATCGTTGGTCAGTTTGTTAAGTTGGTCGTCCGTCGTTGGACAAAAAGGGTGTTAAAAATTTCGGCCGACGCTTAAAATCAAATTGTAGGTCAGAGCTCGATGATTGGACGACGATTGGCTTTGTAAATATTTAACCTAGTAAGGATACAAAACATGAACAAAATTTTGATGCAGGGATTGCTACAATTTTTTTAAACAGAAATAACATAAATAATTAATCCATATGATAGAAAGAAATCTTTCTTTGTTGCCTAGATATGCACCATTTGTCGTTTTCATGCAATTCCATATAAAATTTTGCACACAATGTCAACATTGAGTCACAGTTTTATAAGATTCTGCCACTTTGCCTTGCAAACATTACTCACGTCACTTATCTGAATATAGATCTTTGAAAAAAATTGCTGAATTCTAAAGGAAAAAGATTTTTTGTGCTATGCATCCAAGTCACCGGTGTCCCTAGGAATTAATGTGACTGCTCAGTGTCGCCCGATACTGTATCGGCCGATCATGTTCTTTCAACCGAGAAGACCAGAACAATTTAGTCGCCCTACCATCGGCTTAAATGTGACCTAGGCATCAAATAACACAATTGGAGGTTTGCTCATGTTGCGATCATTATTTTTGAATTGATAATTGTACATTTTCTATGATCAATTTGAAATTTCTAAATATTTCTAAAATTAGTTGACAATAAAAATCCGCAATACACAGAATAGGGAGTAATAATACTTTACAGGTACATAGCTTAAACACAAACCATTAAAGTCAGCTTATAATTATATTCTCATTCTTTTGAAAAGTTTGCCTATATTTACAATTCAATCTTTAGAAAAACGAAACATATTTAAACAACAGTAATTTCAATACATCTAATAATTTCTTCATTAATTTCTTGATCTTTCAACATTTACATGTCATTATCTAAATTCAGTTATGCCATCTAATTCATTGAGATAATGAAGAGTACTGCTGAATATAACAAGAGACCAATGCCTTTATCTGTTGATTTTTGCAATCTACTTTTATGTACTAAGTATTCTTTATACTTAACATACGCAATTTTACAGCAAAGATAGCAATGACAAGAGAATTCTTCTGTAAGGAGCAGCATAAGATGATTATTTAATTTGAAGGTTCTTAGATATAAAACATATGTACAATTTCATTGCTTTTATACTCCATGATAAGACACCTATATTTTATTCATTTATTTAATCTAATTCAAATTTAATTCAGGTTCCTTAATTTAAGGACGTTTTTTTTCTTTAGAATGTCTTGCTTTAACCATGGACCCCCGTACCAGTGCCCAGGACGTGATGCGATGTGACCTGTGTGAGACCGCTGTGGTACAGATCCACTGTGATACATGTCTTGTCAACCTGTGTAAAACCTGCTTGGGAGAACACTTGGTATCTGATGAATCCAAGAAACATGAAATTGTCCCATTCAAGCTCAGAAAATCCGCTCCCCAATACCCTGAATGTACATCTCATATCAAGGAAAGAAAAACAACTGCCAAATCTTCGCAAAACATCTTATGTGCAATTACATAGCGAAGCAGTGAGCCCTATTAATCAATGACATGTTTGTATGGAGGAAATTCGAAAAATCCACAACCTTGTTGAAATTTAAAAAAGTTGTTTAAATCAATATCTAGACAGCTGCACTTACTTGCATCAACTTTTTGCATTTTCCCTGGGCTGCCTACGATTTTGCATGAACTTTTGAGACCAACCCTGTGGTATCATACACAATTTGTGTACTCATAATGCGTTAGCACTTCCGCTTCAGTTTTGTTCGGGCATCTTGGAAGAAAACCGCTTGTTTTCTTGTTATTCTTTTTTTTTTCTTGACTAACGATGTCTGATTCGTATAAAATATGTAAATATGTAACAGAGAAATGATAGTTTTAGACGATCACGCAGAATGCTATCGACATCGCGTCTGCATTGTAGCGTTTCCCTTTGAAGTTTGCATAACTTGGACGGAGGAAAAACGGGCGTTAATGAATAAAATGATTGAACGCAATAAATCTTAAACTGGAAAGAAATCGGCCATGGTGTCAAATCCAGGGGCAGAAATTTCCTCTGTGGGGAATAATACTTGTTCTGATTCACAAGCTTCCTCTGTGGGAAACGTAGCTGTATCAGAATCGCTTCCTCTCTCGGACGAGAGACAAAACGGCGGCAATTAGGCACAGGGGTTTTTCCCATCTTAAATGAGTAATTTACTTCTTCCATGCTGGAAAATTTTGAAATTTGATAGACGTCAGAGTTGAAGAATTAGTACATGGCGCAAGTAAACAGACTGAAAAATCGTCTCCTACAAGTTCACAGTGTAAGCCTACGAGTTTCGATAGATTTCGACCTTCAAATGATCAATACTCAAGAGAGTGTTCAAGTCCATGATGAGGACAGATTACTTATCTGGGAGCTCTATTTCACCTCCAACGTGGTATGGTTTACCCAAGTTTGGACCGTTTCCACAGTCTTTGTGGAATTATTTCAACCATGGTTACAGCTTCTTTCATCCCAGCACATACTTTTCTCAGAGTCCTTGGGCTAATGGCAGCCTGCATGGACTTGGTACCTTATGCCAGACTACAAATGCGCCCAATTCAATTCTGCCTATTATCCCAGTGGCGTCCACATTTGGACAACCCGGAACACATGATTCAGGTCAGCGAATTCCTCATTCCACATCTACTTTGGTGGACAAAGCAAGAAAACGTCCTTGCGGGGACATCTATCCTAAGTTTCAGGGCAGATCTAACATTGTGGACAGATGCCTCATCTAACGGATGGGGAGCCCACCTAGAAGATTGCAATGTGTCAGGCAGATGGTCAGTGGAGGAACAACTATCACACATAAATCTGTTCGAACTCAGTACAGTGGAAAAATTCCTTCATCACTTCAAAAACAATGTCAAACACAAACAGATCCTATCGAGGACAGACAACTCATTTAATTGCATTATTTTCGGTGTTGGTGTTAATTTATATATTTGCTTTATTGATTTAAATATATACTCTGGCAATTTTAAGATCTTATCTTCAGACTTAATTTTTTTTATAAAAAATTATTTATAAAAAGTTGGTGTGGCATTCCTCCTTAAAGTGCATTTCAATATCATTTACGCAAATTCTTACTCAATGTATATTTGTTTTGCTTTTTCTTACAATTTTGTCAATGAGTATAATCTTGGGCACTAACCAGCTTCTTGAGATATTTTTTTCGCAACCAAAAATATCAGCTTGTTGAAATGCTTGTTTTATTATTTTTACCCATAAACAAATATAAGTAATATATTTTAAATTAAAAAACATCACGTATTTTTCTTTCGTGTGTACAGCATGTACAGAGTCACACTCAGCTGTTTAATTCATGGGAAATATTGTAATATATAATCGTTTTCTTCTGCAAAAAAAGATATTTATCCCAAAGTCTTTTAATTTTTCTTAGCACAGAGAAATGTTTAAAATTTAACACACACACACACACACACACACACACACACACACACACACATATATATATATATATATATATATATATATATATATATATATATATATATATATATATATATATATTGGAAGTTTGGAAACATCAGAGGTGGGATCAGGTGCCATGGAGGAGTGAGCATCCCCTGCCGACCGGTCACAAATACGTAATTGTAATGAAATTGAACACAAAGAATATTACTTTTGAAAGCAGTCAAATACATATACTTCGTATAATGACTGTGGAGAAGCAAATTATGAAGTCAACAATTTGACAGTGCAACCCCTGCAGCTACATACCCATATACCCGAAAACAAATTAAACTGCATATATAAGTAATCATATTTGTCGTCCTTTGTCTCCATTTTATGACTTCCGGAATGAACAGAAGCGTCACCTCAATATTGAAGAAATAACAATTAAACGCGGTTAATATTCCTCTATCTACTTGTAGAATCCAGATGTTATCGGTTCAGGTTAATGATGGGCTAGATTGGTGCTAGACTTGGGACGATTTTTCCCTTTTCTTCTCTCGGTAATGCAATATGGTGCAATAAACGGATGTTGACATAATTTTTTGATAGGCAAGGCTGAGGAGAGCACTGAATGGGAAGGCGGTACCTTATATGCTGAATTCAGGTTTCATTTTAAAGCTCATACAAAACAGTTCATAATAATAGGATTTTCTTTTTAAACATAAAGAATGGTATGAAAGAATATTGCATTTGGAAAAAAATCTTTTGCATTTGCGCAAGGAAGGATTCTTCTCTGATTTCCTACTAGATGAAATATTCTGTCTGTGGCCACGGTTTTGCGACACACCACATTAAAAGAATGTTAATTTGTCCAGAAACAATTTTAGAAACATGAAAACAAACAATTTCATTCATATGAAAATATAAAGAAATCGATACTCTTTGCAGTCTAATTTAATATCAAACAGTCAGCAATCATCCTCAAAGTGGTGTACCTACGTACTAAACACCCATGGATACTGACCAATAGGCACTGCCTAATCCCCGAATCTGAATCCAATTGAATACATTTGGGATATTTATAAGGAATGTCAAAGCCCCTCCCCCTTCACACAATTTAAACGGTTTGGAAAGATCTAGGCAGTAGGTGTGGAAAACAGGCGGGTCAATCTCCCATTCAGGGTAAAATGGTATCCAACAGTAAAGGATGGTCTGCAGTTATTAGAGCGAGTGTTGGTCTTACTCCATAAAGATAGTTTTATGGGAATTTTCATTTTGAGATACGTCATAAAGAAATAATTTATTGTATGCATTTTTTCTTTAATTTCTGATGGAAATTATTTTCTGTTGATGAAGTCAGGATCGCCACCAGGGTCTGATGATAATCGAATATGAGTTCCATCTAAGAATCCTACCGTGTCTGGTATTGTATTTTTAATTGAATCCTACTTGCTATTGCCTGCTATTCCATAAAAGTTGACCACTGAATTATCTGTTAAAGTACTGTAAACGTATTATATTTGGCTGTGTATTCTATTCAGCGCCTCTCGCGGAAAATATCTTCCGCTAAATCAAGTACATTTACAGTACTCAAATTTAACACTAGTAATCACATAATTTTGATTTAAATATCTTCCCGTAGAATATAAATCAGCATTGGTCATTAAATATAACCCGAAGTTTAATTTACTTGCCACTGATTTTTCACGTTTTTTAAATGTCTAAAAAGGATAATCGAATTTTACAAATTCATGTAGGCTACATGTATTTAGATATGTACTTACGCTATCCAGACATTTATTTATTGTGCTTCTGATTTTTCTTATTGTCTTAAAAAGAGTGGCCATACCAACATCAAAGTGAAGACTTACTTCCCTCATGCATGGATTCTTCATCAATTTTCTTTGCAGCTCAAACAGATTAAAAGCAATTTACAGGATGGGTCTCTTCAGTCCCACCGGCATGATCGACTGCCAACAAACATGGTAAAATGCGCGCTTAAACTTTTTAAAACATACCTTTACTTAACCGAAAATGATACGTAAAGTCGTCGATTGAATAATGAAGCATTCTTTCTTCAGAGAAGGATATGGAAATAACGAACAGTATTCAATCTCAACGTCCATTAAACAAATATACAAAATAAGAGCAGAGCAAACACGGACCTCCGAAACATCAGAGGTGGGATCAGGTGCCATGGAGGAGTGAGCATCCCCTGCCGACCGGTCACACCCGCCGTGTGCTCGTTGTCATAATCAGGAAATAACGGAAAAAATCCGTGGTCAATTCAGTGTATAAATAATGGACTAACAATTGGTATGAAAAACGTCAGTCAGCATTTCATTCAATGATAAATTGTATTTGCTGACAAGGTCATTGTATCGACCATAGAATTTACGAAATGATGACTTTAAACGAGACTGTTGATATTCTTGTTCATCATCAACTTCGTTTAAGAAATTGCTCTTGCGTATCGAATCAACTGAGATATAAATACTCCGTATGCATGTGATGAAGGTATATTGCTGCATAAGTAAGGGAAGTTGACGATAGAAAAGTTAAAGTCATCACGTTTATCATATAGCTTGATTGTTAGATTACCATTGGTGTCTTTTTCAAGTAAAATATCCAAGTATGAAGCAGGAGTGTCGGACTCTGTGGTATCTTTTATCTCAACCTCAGCAGGATATATCGTGTCGACGTAGGAATGGAAATTATCATTATTAATTGACAATACGTCGTCGATATATCTAAATGTCGAGTTGAAGGCCACAGCAAGTGTTTTCTTCTTTTCACGTAAAAGATTCTGCAAAAATTCTGCTTCATATGAATATAAAAATAAGTCTGCTTATAACAGAGCGCAAATAGTACCCATGGGAATTCCAATAGATTGTTGGAATACTTGGTCTCCAAAACCACATAGATATTGTCAATCAGAAACTCAAGCATCTTCTTGATGTCAACTTCAGAGTACTTATGTGTGCAATCAGAATCTGTTTTAACAAAATAATTTTTCAAATGACCAATGACGAGGTAAGTAAACTTATGAGTTCCATTTTTGTTGAAGAAGCAGCTGTCAATGATATCAAAAAGCCTGGATTTTAATTTGTCATGGGGAATTGTTGTGTATGAAGTTGAAAAGTTGTAAGTTTTTATGCTGTTGATTTTTGTAAAGTCCTGTGATTTCAAATTGTCCAAAAGCTCTTTAGAATTTTCCACATCTGATTTACACCACTTTTTGAATAAATAGTTGTACAGTACTCTTGACAAATGGTGCGGACAAGAGAGAGAGAGAGAGAGAGAGAGATTGAGAGAGA